TTACAGCCTTCTCCGCAAGTACATGATTTGGTTCAGATTTGCATAGATTCCACTCGCAACAGTCAAACATGTTTACCAAAATAACCCTAACTGAATTTACTACCTTTTTTACTGAGAAAAGCTTGTAAATGGATGTTGAGTTTAGATTACTTCAAACATTCATGACTCAAATATCTGAGATTAAATCAGTAGGTGAGAGACTTTATTCCTAAACTCCTCTAGACTGTGAGATAATTGGTACCAACAGTCCACAGTGACCTGCCCTATTTCTCGAGACCAATGTCAACTCTCCACAAATGTAAAAATGACTCAGCACATTCAAATCAGGGCTTTTAATCAGCCTTTATATCATGGTTCTTGTTTTACCCTTGTCTGAACCTTCCTTCCTCTCTGTGTAGACAACAATGAATGTTCATCAGACCCCAATCTGTGTGGCTCCAATGGTGTCTGCCAGAACACTCCTGGGAGCTTCAATTGCGATTGCCAGCGGGGATTCTCATTAGATCCCAACGCACAAACCTGTGAAGGTCAGAAAACCACTGATAGCAACCTCAGTATCAGCGGATCCAGTAGAGAAAATAGGCTTACAGTAGTTTTTTTTTTGTCTGTTTGTCCCTGACAGATATGGATGAGTGTGACGGTAACCACAGGTGTCAGCATGGCTGTCAGAACTTAGTGGGTGGATACAGATGCAGCTGTCCACAAGGCTACCTGCAGCACTACCAGTGGAACCAGTGTGTGGGTGAGTTAATACCACTGCTCTTTTTATCAGCAAATATAAAAATTCTTTCCTTTTCGGGCATCCTGATGACTTGGTTGCCAAAGTATGTACCATGCAGTCTTGATGTTCTGGGCTAGAGTCTGGCCTGAAGCCTTTTAAAAACAACGTATCCATTCTTCACCTATTCCTGAGACTCTTACAATATAAACAATGTATGTCCATTTTTTTTTTCTTTCCTCTGGTAGTTCAACCCTTCCCTTGCTGTAGTAATGTCATGAGAAAATGTTAAAACTAAATGCCAAATATCCTACTTAAAACCCTAAAAAAGATCTATACTTTATGCTTTACTTAAATTATATTTACTATTGCTGTAATGTATTGTATTGTAATGTGCTGGCATTGGTGAGTGCGCACTGATCTGATACCATGTAATTTACTAGCCCAGAAACAGGACACTGCTGGGAAGTAGCACGGCCCTGTTTTTCGGGGCTGTTTTTCTTCCCAGGATAGCAAAGTCTTGATCCGTCCTTGTTGTATGGCCTGACGCAGGTTTAACTTTTTGTTAAAGGCCATACAACAATGATAGCAATCATAAAGACTTAGTAGTTTGAAATATAATATATATATGTGTGTGTATCTATTTTGCACATGTATTGGCTCAGTACTTGGTATTCCTATTGGGAAGGAAGAAATGAAAACAGAGCATCTGTAATACTTATTATATTGTACATGTCATGCACACTTAATTAATAAAAAGAGACAAAAAATACTAACTATCAGGATGACAAGAGACATTTGAGAGGCCTGTGAAAATATGTCACATATGTCTAAAGGGACAAAGTGACCTATTGTAGACAAAAAACAAATGAAAAAAAGAGGATGGTGCAACACCAAAATCTGTAAGTACATAAAATTATTAGAAATAGCTCAGGAATAGACAAAGCAATTGTGGTTCAGCATGTGCCTGCTTCTGTGTACACCCCCCCCCGCACCAAATATAAATAAAGAGCTTTTGTTTGTTTAACCTCTATTTTTAATTTGAACCTCTCCACATATTTACAACATTCATGGCGACTTTCCCAGCATTGTTTGTGTCCTTTAACTTGAATGACCTCTTGTTTGTCTACTTCCCGTCAACTTCCTGTGACCCAGATGAGAACGAGTGTCTGAACAGCCAGATCTGTGGGGGAGCGTCATGTCACAACACCCTGGGGAGCTTCCGCTGCCTCTGCCCCACCGGCTTCAACTACGAGCAGACGGGCGGAGGCTGCACAGACGTCAACGAGTGCTCCACCAGCCAGAACCCCTGCAAGTTTGGCTGCTCAAACACAGACGGGGGCTACCTCTGTGGATGTCCGCCTGGATACTTCCGCGCAGGACAAGGGTAAGTGAGTGAATGACTGTATGTGAAACGCAGTCTGTCGATGTTTTTAGCTGACTGATGGCTTTGTCTTTGTTTCAGGCACTGTGTCACAGGTCTGGGCTTTACTAGTGGCGGCGGTTCCAGTGCTGGACAGGGAGGTGAGGTGGATGATAATTCTCTGTCTCCTGAGGCCTGCTATGAATGTAAGATCAACGGCTATCCCAAGAAGGGACGCAAACGTCGCAGCACCAACTCAACACAGGAGGATCCTCTGGAAGACATGCAGGTAATCTGTTTGTCTGTATGCAGTATGCAGGGCTGTAGCTACTGCTGACAACACCGAGGTTATGTCCTCTGTATTTTCAAGGGGAACTTGAGGGTTTTTTTTTTGGGGGG